TTCAATGCAATCCCCATCAAAATACCATCCACTTTTTTCAAGGAAATGGTACAAATAATCTTAAAATTTGTATGAAACCAGAAGAGACCCCGAATAGCCAGAGGAATATTGAAAAAGAAAAGCAAAACTTGGAGCATCACAATTTCCGACTTCCAACTCTATTATAAAGCTGTCATCATCAAGAGAGTATGGTACTGGCATGAAAACAGACACATCGATCAATGGAACAGAATAGAGAGCCCAGAGATGGACTCTCAACTCTATGGTCAACTCATCTTTGACAAAGCAGGAAAGAATGTCCAATGGAAAAAAGACAGTCTCTTCAACAAATGGTGTTGGGAAAATTGGACAGCCACATGCAGAAGAATGAACTGGACCATTTCCTTACACTACACACAAAAATAGACTCCAAATATTTGAAAGACCTAAACGTGAGACAGGAGTCCATCAAAATCCTAAAGGATAACCCAGGCAGGAACCTCTTTGACCTCAACTGCAGCAACTTCTTCCTAGAAACATCGCCAAAGGCAAGGGAAGCAAGGGCAAAAATGAACTCTTGGGATTTCATCAAGATAAAAAGCTTTTGCACAGCAAAAGAAACAGTCCACAAAACCAAAAGACAACCGAGAGAATGGGAAAAAATATTTGCAAATGACATATCAGATAAAGGGCTAGTATCCAAAATCTATAAAGAACTTATCAAACTCAACACCCAAAGAACAAATAATCCAATCAAAAAATGGGCAGAAGACATGAACAGACATTTTTCCAAAGAAGACATCCAAATGGCCAACAAGCACATGAAAAAGTGCTCAACATCGCTCAGCATCAGGGAAATCCAAATCAAACCCTCAATGAGATACCACCTCAAACCAGTCAAAATGGCTTAAATTAACAATCAGGAAAGGACAGATGTTGGCGGGGATTTGGAGAAAGGGGAACCCTCCTACAGTGTTCGTGGGAATGCAAGCTGGTGCAACCACTTTGGAAAACAGTATGGAGGTTCCTCAAACAGTTGAAAATAGAGCTCCCATACGATGCAGCAATTGCACTACTGGGTATTTACCACAAAGATACAAATGTAGGGATCCGAAGGGGTACGTGCACCCCAATGTTTATAGCAGCAATGTCCACAATAGCCAAACTGTGGAAAGAGCTGAGATGTCCATCAACAGATGAATGGATATAGAAGAAATGGTATATATACACAATGGAATATTATGCAGCCATTAAAAGGAATGAGATCTTGCCATTTGCAAAGACGTGGATGGAAATTGGAGGGTGTTATGCTGAGTGAAATAAGTCAATCAGAGAAAGACATGTATCATATGACCTCACTGATATGAGGAATTCTTAATCTCAGGAAACAAACTGGTGTTGCTGGAGAGTTGGTGGGTGGGAGGGATGGGGTGGCTGGGTGATAGACATTGGGGAGGGTATGTGCTATGGTGAGCGCTGTGAACTGTGCAAGACTGTTGAATCACAGATCTGTACTTCTGAAACAAATAATGCAACATATGTTAAGAAAAAAGAAAAAGAAGATAGCAGGAGGGGAAGAATGAAGGGAGTAAGTCAGAGGGGCAGATGAACCCATGAAAGACGATGGACTCTGAAAAAGAAACTGAGGGTTCTAGAGGGGAGGAGGGTGAGGGGATGTGTTAGCCTGGTGATGGGTATTAAAGAGGGCACGTTCTGCGTGGAGCACTGGGTTTTATGCACAAACAATGAATTATGGAACACTACATCAGGAACTAATGATGTAATGTATGGTGATTAACATAACAATAAAAATTAAAAAATATAACATAGGTGTTGATAAGATGTTGGTTGAAAAAGGAAAAAGAAAAATTCAAAAAAATGAGATTTAATAAATTAATTTTGAAAAACTGAAGAATCATGGTAAAAAAATCCATGAATTCTATGTGCAGTATTCCCTTAGCGCTGGAGTTCTGCCGTTCTCAGTTTTTAGTAAACTTGGTCTTGGCTGGCTGTTCTTGCCAATCTTCTGGGGGAGGGGCCTGTTGCCGTGGTTTCCAAATGTCTTTTCCGGAGGCGGAATTGCTCGCCTTTGCTGGGTCCTTGCTAAGTAATCTGTTCCTGTTTGCTCTTGTGAGATTTTGTTCCCTGCAAGTTTTCCATATAGCTCTGGAGGATGAAAGTGAAAATGGCAGCTTCCCCATCTCTGCCCCAGAGGAGCTGAGAACTCGGGGCCCCACTCTTCAGTGAGCCCCCAGAGAAAAGTATTCTATTACTCCCATCTCCTCAGTCTCCGGCCGCACTCTGTGCTCACCTGGCCTGTGACCAAGTGTTTCTCTCTCTTGAGCACAACCCCGTGTGGAGTCTCCAAACCTAGCAGATCTCTGTGTTGTGCTCCCATGCTGCTCCTCCTGGGGAGTAAGGGGAGTCTCCCCAGATTTGCCACTTGTTGGGTCCCTGCTGGAGGAGCAGTGGGCTGACTGTGCTGTGGATCACAGTTTATGGCCACCCCGAGCTGCGAGCCCTCTCCTCTGCTCCGTCTCTGCAGCCAGCTTCCCCGCTCCGATACCTGGGAGCTCTGCCACACCCGGTCTTCCTGTGACCCGAGGGTCCTAAGACCACACTGTTCCCACGAGGGTTCCCCCACCCTCACCCGCTTAGCCACTGGAGTGAGGTCCCTCGGCAGATCCAACTTCTAATAGTTCCAGTTTTGTGATCCACTGCTCAATCACTTGCCAGAATCGGCCAACAGAAGCCCCCTTCCCACCGTCTGTCTTCCCGAATATTGCCTCAGATTGACTTCTCCGCATGTCCTACCTCTCAGAAAGTGGTCGCTTTTCTGTTCAGAGAGTTCTTGCTATTCCTTTCTTCGATCTCCTGTTGAGTTCGTAGGTGTTCAGAATGGTTTGATTCCTCTCTAGCTGAATCCCTGGAACCAGATGAAATCCAGGTCTCCTACTCCTCCGCCATCTTGCTCCGCCCCCCGCCACTGTGTGGCAAGTTTTAACTAGGTGTGTTTTCGTCTGCTTGTTAAAGGAAGCCAGGAAAAAAAAAGGAAAGAAGAAAAGAAGGAAAGAGGAAAGAAAGAAAGGAAGAAAGAAAAGAAAAAAGAAAGAAGGAAAGAAAGAACAGAAAGAAACTAGATCTTATTTCCCCTAGAGCTGAAGATTTTCAGTACTCTATGATCAGTAGACTTGGTGTGTGCAAGTGGTTTCTGCTAATCTTTTGGAGGGAGGGCCTGCCACACTGATTCTCAGGTGCATTTGTCCTAGTGGAGATGCCCCTGCAGGATATTGGAAGGTGAGGCTTGGTGGAAGCAGTTCTAGTCTCCACTGGAGGGGATGGAGGGACAATGCTGTGTTTGTCAATGAAGTTGATCAGTGCTGATGGGCAGGGTGAGGGAAGAAATGGGGTGCCCCACTCTCTCAACCACAGAGTGGGGAGTTCAGTCCCAACATTCTTCAGGAAGCCATCACAGAAGAGGAAATAATCACCCCTCTTGTGTCGCCAACCTATGTCCTTTCCATGCCTTTACTCTGTGTCTGAGCTATCTACCTGTCATGTGGCACAGCACTCCCATGTTTTATCTCAAACACACAGCTGAGTTTCAAAACTCCAAATTTAAGGACCCACCCTCGTGGCATGGACCTGCTCTACTCCTCTGTGTGAGGGTCTCATCATGCTTTTGCCATTTGCTAGTTTGTCCCAGAAAAGTTGTTGCATGACCACACAGCACTTTGGAATTTATGGTAAAGCACAGCAAAAAGCCAGGACCAAGTTTTGCTGTCCTCAGCCCATGTCCTTGTCCTTATGCTAATGAACAGGGCAGCACATTGGCACCACAAGTTATTTTGTCCTGGGACAGGCCATGCCACCGTTCCCTTATACACTCCAACCAGGGAAACTCCTTCTCCCCATGCAATGCAGTAGATCCTTGCACCATACCGCCCAATCTCAGGTCTCTGCCTTCCTTCCCCACAGGAGCACTGCTAGGCCCACCAGGTATGACCCCCAGTAATGGCGAGCAATTTTAATACTTTAGACTTTGAACTCCAGTGCTCATAATAACTTGTGGTAATCAGACCCTCTCTTTTTCCCAGTCCATTGTTTTGGGGAATATTTATTCTTGTGCGATCCCCTGCCTGCTGCTTCTCTCTCTCTGTCTCTCTCTGTCTCTCTCTGTCATTTTGCTTTCCATAATCAGGGACTCCTGCAGCATCTGCAGTTTTTTTCTCCCCCAAATCAACTCTCCACAACTCCTACCTTCCATGAGGTGGTCATTTCTCTACTTTTAGATGTGTAGTTTTGTTCTCTCAGTCCTCAGATTGGTTTCTTGGTGTTCAGAATGATCTGATATTTATCTAGCTGTGTTCCATGGACAAGCAAGATTAGGATCCCCCTACTCCTCTGACATCTTAACTCCTTCCTGAATTTCTTACTTTTAATTATAGCAGAATTTCAGAAATTTCAGCACAATGAGATTGTATTGTGTCTGTGTAACTGGAATAGTTAATTTTGGCAAATTATTTTTGTCATGAATTCCCATTTGGTTGAATTTTTCCACATTTTCTAAATCTTGCTCTACAGGACAGTTTAATGTTAGTGAAAAGATGCCTCAATATGCTAGATGGCTTTTCTCCTCAGCATTTATGTATGTCCTCTAGCTAACAGCTACCAGGAAAACATTTATAATTGAATGAGTCAGTATATTACTCACTGCAGTAAGGGAAAAGACACACTGTAGGGAACTGTGGAGTGTCTGTGTGAGGGAGTATTAGAGGTGACTAGAGTGAGAATATTTTTACTTAATTATTATTGTAATGAGCTGCAATAGAAGGCATTTCAAGCTCACTTTTCCCTCATTAGTTCTTCAAAGTCCCCCAAATAGCTGAGGACCTTTTTCTTGCTGTTAATTTGAGGAGAGTGAAATATGTCTGTATTTTGGCTTGTCAAGATTCCTTTCTCAGCCAACAGGCATCCTATAGTACATAATCTAATTTCCACTAACATGTATTCTCTTTTGCAGAAGAGTCCCTTCCCATGGACCATATTCTAGCCTTCAAGAAACATGAGATTTTCACCCAGAAAAGCTGTAAGTGCACCAGTCTTGCAATGCAGCTCTCTTCCATAACACTACAGAGTAGTACCAGCCCTTCTTTCACTTTTAACATCCCAAGCAGAAGGTGAACATAGTTCCACTGTGTTCTTTAGATTTCATGAGACAGATTAACTCATCTCTTAATTTTTGTTCCCATGTTCTAAGTGAGGAGCAGGCAACCATACCATGTCCCAATTTTCTGGTACAGTATCTCAGATTGCACCTACAGATCTTTCCTAAAACCTCCATGTCCTCTCTTGACTCTATCACATATTCCATGCCCATGAGCAAGTAGATTCATGTAACCAGATTTAGGCCACCTCTTTTAAAATAACCTATGATGATGGGTTTGGTATTCATTTGTAATAGTCCACTTATTATTATTATTATTTTGCTCAAGGATTTCATTTGAACATTTCTTTACTTATATTTTAAATATTTTATTATAATACATCCAAATGATGTTAGTGACACAAAGAAAATCCATTTCAGCTCCACCTGTCATGTTGCTTCAGCTACTTACCTTTGCAACCTACTTTAAAACCACTCAGTCCTAACTTGATCTGAACCCTATAAGTATTCTACTTTCTCACCCAGGCCCACTCTTTCTGCATTTCACATATTGTCTTGAATTCAATTATTTCTAGCTATGCATTTGGCAAATTCCATCTTTTTGCATCACTTTCTCAGTGAGAGTTTTCCTGATAAGTAGATTTAAATGAACCCACTCATTATCATTCTATATCTTGATACCTTGATCATTTCCCACACAACATTTTGAAGCTAGGAATTGTCAGTTTTTACCTGTTTATTGCCAGTGCCAGATACATAGTTACAGTTACAAATAGACAATCTACAGTGTTGGAGATAATGGATATCTAAAATGCATATATACAGTGCCAAATAATCATTTGTTGAATAGATGAATAAATTGTAGTGTTCTTTTAAATTAATTGGAGATTATGGTCATTATAACTTCAAAACAACATTGAGGTGAAAAGGTAAGGAAATGAATGCCTGGAAAAGATAATCACCTAGGAGATATATATATTATATATATATGTATATATAATATATATATTAGAGTTAACAGTAAGTAATTCCAGGTATAGAATTCTCTTGTCAAAGCAATCAGGCTCCTCTAGGTTTAAGCAATATCAGTTGGGACCCAGTCAATTTCCTGATGATGCAGAGTAGAACCCACACCCTCTTCCATGAATGAATGAAGGAGAAATCACACCTATCAGGGATCAACTGAGAATTAGCTTTCCTTTACCAGTTGTAAAAGTAGATATTTCCTTTGGGTATTGTATTTATGTTCTGTGGCCTGGAATTGTCAACTAAATTTTATAGTATGTAATTCAAATCAAATAATTCTTGTTCATTAACATATAGACATATTGAGGACTAAAATGATAAAAAGGTATAATTTATGGTATCAAAATGATTTTTAGATTTATCTGAAGGCAGAAGACCAGCATTCTGATCATATGAAAATAGAAGATATTCATATATATAAATTATAAAATTTATAAATTATGTATGTATAAATTCGAAGTCTCATCAGATTTAAAATAAGGCAATTTTCCTCAGTAACAAAGATATTTTCTTCCTGGCTTTTCTAAACAACTTAAGGGCACGATGGTCAGAGCGTGTCCATGTTGACCATTGTAGAGGGGACCAGGAGAAAAATATGGTCTCAAGGCCTCTGTGAAGCACTGTTTGTAGGGATAGATGTAAGACTGGTTCGTCACATTATAAAAGGAGACACTTTCAGCCTCATAGTCCAAGAAGATTCCAATAATCTCAGGAGGTTCCTCAATGTGGAGTATTACCTGTGAATTTGCAAGAGCTTGGTAGTTATTACTTTTACTCAAGCACAGTGTCCAGAACCCGGTCTCTGAGGACACCATGATTTCTCCTTGTCTGCAGTTAGAATTTTTACAAATGCCTAAAGTCCATTGCATTTTATTTTTCACATTCACTTCCCAGTAGTGTTTACCTTTGGAAAAAATTTGCTGACCTAATACACAGACTAGATCATCAAACCACTGCCTATTTTTAGGTAATTCCTGCAATATATCACCTCTTTTCACACTTCTTTTGTCTTCACCAATTTGGAGATATGGATGAGCTGTGTCTGGATCCAAGGTAACATTTTCTATGAAAGAACATATTGTCAGTCTTGGCTATGATGAATAATAATCCATAATATTTAACATATTATACAAGCGACCCTCCTCTGTCTAGGATCTTTCTATAGCTTTCTCCAAATGAAGCTGCTCCTTTCCCTCAAGTCATGCTTTTTATATCACCTCTAATTATCAACTCACCCACTTGAGAACTTGATAATGAGCATTTGTTCAGAATGGAAAAAAAATGAGTATCTAAACACCTAGATTTTTCCTAGTCAAAATAATTTTTTTGAATATGGTCAATGTTACACTGGACACTTATTATGTACCTAGTGCTGTTTGAAGTATATTTATACATATTTAATTTTAATAACAAATCATTCAAATGGAGAAGTATTTTTATTTTGTAGTTGAGACAACAAAGATTTAGAGAAGTTGGTCCAACAATGATTATTAATATCCATTAATGTTTGGATTCAAGTACAGATCTATTTGATTCAATTTATAAATTAATGAAAAACAATTGCATATATTTACTTTGAATCTGAATGTTTTTGACAATTAATGGAATTGATAAAATGGAAGTTTTGGAGGAAGAAATAAAAGGTGTGTGTGTATATTCTGTGTGAGTTTGTGAGTGTGTTACAGTCTCCCTTCTCGGGTGACCCAGTGTGCTGGCTAAAAGAAAGAATCCATATCCAAATACTTCAGTCTCTAGTTACCTGCATATTTTCGAGCAAATTCCATCCCTAAAATTAAAAAAAAAAAGAAAGAAAGAAAAGAAAATTACAATTTTGAAACCAAGACTTAACAGTAAGTAAAACAGGAAAGAGAGGGTCAAAAGGCAGGGGCATGAGTCAGGGCTAGAGGTGGCCATTTTCATTACTCACCTTCTTTTCCCAGATGTTTTATCCTTTCTGAAAGAATAGGATGCAGTGAGAGTTTGCTTTGAAATATATTTACATTTCTATCCTCACAGAGAAATATTACTTACCAAGTTCTTCATGAAGGTTTCATGAAAAGCCAAACAGTGACAAATTCTTGTGAGAAGTTGGCTAGGAGTTATTAACTAGACTGTCATTTAATATTTGCAGATATAAATCATTTGGATTAAAAAAAGACAAAGAATGGATTTAAGTTACAGATTTGGAAAATAATGGTTTAAAGCCTTTTGGTTGGCTTTGCTTTAACATAATTCAAAGGATCATAATGCACATTTTTTTTTGCCCAGAAATAGCCATTCCCAGGTGTTTGCCTTAAGCACATGAATTCCTGCAGACTTCCCTAAAATATAAACTTAAGAAGCTGGCACTGAAAGCACAAGTGAGGTTAGGATATAATTTTTATTTCTATTTCTCTGCACCTGAAGAATTGAAAACTAAATGGAGGGGCTCCTGGTTTTGGCTCAGATGATGATCTCAAGACCCTGATCTCAGGGTCTTGAAATGAAGCCTCACATCTGGCTCCACACTCAGTGTGGAGTCTACTTGCCTCTCTCTCTCTTCCTCTGCCTCTACCCATTCTAATTTAAATTTTAAAATCTTTTATTTTTTTAAAGATTTTATTTATTTATTTGAGAGAGAGAATGAGATAGAGAGAGCATGAGGGGGGAGGGTCAGAGGGAGAAGCAGACTCACTGCTGAGCAGGGAGCCCGATGTGGGACTTGAACCCAGAACTCCAGGATCATGACCTGAGCCGAAGGCAGTCGCCCAACCAACTGAGCCACCCAGGCGCCCTTAAATTTTAAAATGTTTTAAAAAGTTCAAAAAATAACTACATGCAGTTACTTTTGCTATAATGTTTGTTTTCAAAATGCAAATTTGTCCAAATATGATTAACATATCAAGAAATAATTTTAGTACATTGTGAATTTTGCTTTTTATATGTGATTTTTTGGTATGGAAATCTGTACCCTTTTGAATCTAAAGGTGTAGAAATACATAAAATATATAAACACACACACAAATACACACATGTAGGCACATCTCAAAAGGACAATGACATGCATCCATCCACAATTGCAATTTTCCACACTGCCTCTTCAAAAGGATTATAAGCTACCACCCTCACGAATAGTGCACAGATCATGCCCTTCTTTCTTTGGCTTTTATCCATATTTCTTTGTTACTCTTTCTCTCTCTCTCTTTTTTTAATTTATCTCATTATTGTCCATTTATTTTATCCTCTTCCTTTGTATAAATTGTTGGGCATGGAGGTGGAGGTAGGGAAGATACAGGTTGCCACATGTAAACTTCAGGTCACTTTCATGGTTAAGGACCATATTATTGTAGTGTGTAGGTATTTCTTAACAGCTTAGCAAAGTATAAAATTCTGTCAACATTTGCTAGGTGTTTTTGTTTTTGTTTTTAACATGTCACCAACAAAGTTTTAGACTACATTGTCAGTAATGAATGTTATGGACTGAATTTCTTTCTAGAAAATTCTTATGTTAAAATCCTAACCCCCAATGTGACCATATTAGATAGTGGGGGCTTTGGAAAGTAATTTGGTCATGACAGTGGAGCCCTCAGGAATAGGATTAGTACCCTAAAAAAAGAAGAGACATGAGCACTTGTTCTCAGTTTTCTGACAAACCAAATGATGGAAAATAAAGAACCTGAGAAAAACAGAGATAAACAACTCCTGGATTGTGAGGGCAGAATTCGAGAGATAAGTGATAACATAAGATGAAACAACATTAGAATAATTGGGATCCCAGAAGAAGAAGAAAGAGAGAGAGGGGCAGAAGGTATATTGGAGCAAATTATAGCAGAGAACTTCCCTTATTTGGGGAAGGAAACAGGCATCAAAATCCAGGAGGCACAGAGACTGCCCTCAAAATCAATACAAATAGGTCA